CCCAGTGGTGGCAGCATGCAGAGCTGGCAAGCTCAGTGGGGCAGAGTGTTGGTTGGGTTGGTGCCATGGGGCCATGGTCCATGGCTGGGTCTCAGGGCCAGAGGCTTGGCACAGGGAGGCAGAGGGGCGCTTGGTTGGCTTGGCAAAGCATCGGTGCAGGCAAGGAGCCCAAAGGGCTGGGCTGGGCCAGCACCACTCATCAGGGCTGTTTCCATGGCACCGAGGCAGGCTTGTTAGGGCTGTGACTGTGGGGGCGTCAGGCTGGCACAGTGCCCAGGGTTGGTGATGGTGGGGGGGAGTTGCTGCAGTGTGATGGAGCAGGAGTCAGGCTGGATCTGTTGGTGCCTCTCTCGCGGGTTGCGGGCTCTGTTGCTGGGGTGGGGGCTGCATGGCGAGAGTCAGAGGCTGCTGGAGCTGGAGCTGAGAGGACAAGGCTGGGGATGGGGAGAGAGCAAGGGGCTGGGTGGCACCAATGCCTTCAACTGCCTTTGCTCTGCTGTGACTTGGCAGGCTGGGCGAGTCATCCTCTTTAAAGATGCTGTGCTCACTATTAGCACAGTTGCATATGTGGTCCCAGTGAGGGTTTCCTCTCAGCCTGGAGCACTGGGCATGGCCATCTCCTGGCACCTGGCCCATACACACAGCCCAGGCAGGGCAAGGCAGCAGCAATCCCAGCCTCTGTGGGAGGGTGTTGTGCCCATGCCCAGAGCTGGGAAGGCAAGGAGCCTGCCCCAGGCCCCTTAGACATGAGGCGGCGCCTGCTCTGGGGCTGTCCTGTCCCCACTGGTGCAAAAGCCATTTAGAGAAGCCCTGGGGGGGTCTCACCGTGCTGGTGTAGGGAGCCCACTGGCTCCAAGCACCCTGCTCTGCCTCTCCTTCTGCCATGGGGATGTGGCCCCTCAGGCATCCGCTTCCCCCAGTCCCTCCAGGGGGGCAGAGACAGGGACAGCCATGGCACCAAGACCGGCAGCCAGTTTCCCAGCTGTGCCAGTGCCCAAGGGGAGCAGGGAAGACTGGGCCACCGGTGCCAGCTGCGGGGCAGAGGCGGGTAGAGAAAGCCTGGCTCACCCGCCTCTGGTGTGGGGGGACAGGACATGCTGCAGCTGCTCACAGAGGCGGGAGGCTGGGGCTGCCAAGGCAGCGGCACCAGCAGAGGCACTGGGGTGGGATGTGATTGGCAAGTGTGCGTGGGACGCCAGGCCTGGGGGCAGCCACGCTGGGGGACTGGCAGTCTCTGATCTCCCTGTGTGGCTCTACGAATGCCTGCCACCCCAACCCAGCCTGCCCCACTCCCGTCTTCCAGCATCCAGGCGCTGCGGGGATGGCACTGTTCCCTTCCTGTCCTGTGCAGGGGCAGACAGCACAGTGCGGGGACCCGCCGCCCCCTTCACTGTGGGCACAGTCGTGTCTGAGGCTGTGGGTACCAGGGTAAGAACGTAGCACATTCGGGGAGCAATGGGATGGAGGAAGCAGCCCCTGCTCTGCCCTGCCTGGTGGGTCCAAGGTCAAGTCTACCCCCAACACTCCGTTGCTCCCTTGCCCGCAGTGAACACCCCAGGCCAGGCGCACAGCCCCGTGGCAGTGGGATCCCCCTGTGACAGGGACCAGGCAGGTGTCTGTCTGGGGTGGGCTGGGAGCAGCTGACAGGTCTTATTGTGGGGGGCTTTGTCCTGTGGGATCTTGAGTGCTGGGAGGACAGTCTCGCTGAGAGCCTCAGGAGAGCAGGCGGTGAAGCCCTCAGCTCTGCAAAGAGCCTGGCGGCTGCAACCAACCACCTGGCTCCACAGCCCCGAGTGATTGGCACCACTGCCCACCCTGCCGGCCAGGGAGTTCCCTGGCAGGCTCCCACCTCTAGGCCGTGATGCGGGTCCTCTCTGCTGAGCCGAGCCCGGGAGATCCAGCAGGGCTTGGCTCAGCTCTCACAGGGACTGCCAGCCTGCTCTGGTCAGCACCCCCCAGCTGGCGTAGACCTCAGGGAGACCTGCTGCTGCCTCTGGAGCCTGGGGGTTTCCTGCATACCCCGCAGCCTTAGCACAGGCTCCATCCACAGCTGCAGAGGTACCTGGATCTCTAGGGCTGGGGTGTCTCCCTTGTGCCCTCTCTCACTGCAGCCGGTGGAAGGTGGGAGCTGCCTCTCCTCAGTGTCCAAATGTGTCAGCCACCTGGCTGCTAGAAAGGCCCTGCTCCCATCCCCTGGGCTGGGAGCTCTGAACCCCTTGTACCTCTTCCCTGGGAGAGCCAAACCCTGTCTCAGGCAGTGCCTGGGGTGAGGCAGGCTGTCAGGCCGGGCCCCGGTGTGCCCATGCTGAGAAGGAGTGGGACATGTCCTCCATATTCCTGGGTTCCCCCATCGCCCCAGGACCCAGGGAGGGCAGTGCCTGGCTGCCAATGGAGCTGCTCTGAGTCACACTTCCAGCCACTGCTGGGGGTGGCTGGTGGAGCAGAGCCTGGCATTGCTCTCAGGAAGGTTTGGGGGGAGAGGGGTGTTACTGCCACTGGCTGTGAGAACAAGGAGGTGGCAGCAGGCAGAGAGCTGCCCCAGGAGGGTTCAGACAAGGCTGAGCATGCTGGGAGCAGGGGCTTGGCCTTGATGAAGTCCCCTCCAGCCAGATTTTCCTGCAGCGCCCTTGGCAAAACCGGAGGGGATACCTGTTGTCAGGAGCTTGTCACCAGTGAACAGAAGAACACCAGAGCTGCCATTTATTGGGGCAGACCCAGTCTTGCCCAGTCTGAACAGGCCTGACCTTGTTAGTGTTTTCTCATAGGGAAGCCTCTCCACACCACTCATCATCCTTGTTGCCTTTCTCTGTACCTTCTCTAGTTCCCCTGTCTCCTTTCAGAGTTGCGGGAACCAGAGATGAGCACAGCATTCAAGGTGTAGATGCCTCAGGGATTTATAGAGACATCATGATGCTTTCAGTTTTGTTCACAATTCCCTTCCCCTGACAGAACAAGGGAGGAGATTCAGGTCTGAGTGTCCCTGCTTGTTCTCACGCTCACTTCCAAACCAGGTCACCTGTGATGCCTCTTGGGGAGCAGGGCCCCAAGACATGTTGGGGAATCTGGGTCATGGAGGTGATGATGGGCAGGCTCCTACAGGGCCTGGGACCGTGTGGGACAGGCACAAGGTGGAGTTGGGATGGGAAGGAGAGGAACCCCCTGCCCTTTGGGAAGCAAAGCACCCAATGGGCTGGGCTGGGCTGGGCTGGCTGGGCTGATTACATATCTTGAGTAGCAACACCCTCCCAGGCCCCTGTCCGAGTGCGGGGTGCCCTTTGCTGCCCATGCTCCAGCCACCCCTGGGAAGGAAGCTGAGCCTGGTGATGTGAACCGCTGTATGGACTGGCACGGTTCTGGGGCCAGGGACCGAGGGGTCATGTAACCAGGAGGGCAGAAAGCATGCCGCAGGGGAGCAGTGGCGGGCTCTGCTGACGGGGTATCTCAGAGTCCTGGTTTGGATGGCTGGTAGGATCGTGGTGGTTATTGTCTGCCCTCTAGGATCCAACAAGACAGAGACCCTTGCCCAGGGGCCTCAGCATCTTGCTCACAACCCTGAGCTGAGACAGCAGGGATCTGCTGCGAGAGACCCCCAGGGCTCTCCCTGATGGAGGATCTGTCCCACCCTGGGGTCCTATTCATAGGTCCCAGGGACAAGATGCAGCTGGACAGCAAACATCGTTGGCCATGGCAGTCCTGTGAGAGATGAGGCAGCATGTTCATGAGCTGAGACCAGAGGGTCGGAGCATCTCATGCCTGTTTTGCTTCAGCCTTCACTAAAAAGATTAGCTGATCAGCTGACTAATGCAATTAGCAGCTGGGGCAGGGGGGGCAGGGAAAAAAAACCCAGCTACTGTCAGGAAAGAACTGGTTAGAGGCTACCTAGAGAAGGTAGCTGCCTGGAGATCAGCTGGGCCTGCTCCCCCACCACCCCCTCCAGTGGATTCAAAGGAACAATTTCAGAGCTGCTAATGACAATGGTGGAGAATACGGGAAGGCAGGTGAGGCTCCAGGAGATAGAAAAGGGCTGGTGTAACATTAATCTATGGAAGGGGAACAAAAGGGGGAGGAGAGGGAAGAGATGGCCAGCCTGAGTGCCCGGAAGCCCTCATGTAGGAGCTAACGAGATAATATGCTCTGTGCACAACATCGATTTGTGGAGAACGGAAGCTCATCAACCCAATGTCCTTGCCTCCTAGGGGAAGGAGGGAAGGCAAAATGATGTCTCTGGGCTGTAGTAAGGTGTCTGACCCTGCCTGCCTGTCTCCAGGAAGCTTGTGGGGGGACACCTGTAACTGGAAGGCAGTATCCCGCCGGTTTCCTGGGGGTCAGTCCTTTGTCAGGTCCCGGTCTTGTTGTTAAAGGGGACATGGGTTCATCATACTAGACGGGGGGGAGGGGGTTCCTGGCATGGTGGAGGTTGCTGGAGTGAGAATGCACAGCTCTCCCACCAGTGGAAGACTTGGCCCAAAATCAATGAACGAGAAGCCCTATATGGAGGATGAAGGCAAATGGGGGAGCAACAGATAGAAACTCGGCCCATGAGGTGAGACTGAAAGAGCTGGGTGGGTTTAGCCGGGAGATGGCAGGGAGGGAGGGTAGGTGGTGGCTTCCAACTGGAGCCAGGGCAAATCAGAGCAGACCTTAAGGAAACTTGCCCCCTGCGAGGAGAGCTCAGCCCTGACAACAGCTCCTCATGGGGCTGGGGGATCTCTGGTGGCAAGTGTGGCTGCAGCCTGTGCTGCCTGAGGCCAGGGGTTGGATGCAGTGACCTCTCAGGGTCCCGTCCGAGCCATGTGAGGGCACAAGAGGAAATATCTCCATGGGCTAAGGCGATGTCTTATGTCCTCTCCTCCTTGCCTGACACTCTGTGGCTGGACCGGACCATGGGGCTCAAGTCCAGGCGTCCTGCTGCCTTTTCACCCCTTCAGTCACTGGGCTGGATCCATGGCCAAGGCAATCAAGGTGACCTAACTAACTGGGCTTGCTCCTTCTCTCCTCAGATCATCAGAAGCTGGAGCGTGAGGCCCGGATTTGCCGTCTCCTAAAGCATTCCAACATCGGTGAGGGGCTCCTGCCGGCATGGAGAGGGGCTGTGCTGGTTGGAGAGGAGACTTGGGGGTTGGGAAGAAGGGAGGTAGGGGAGCTACAGGGGGTCTGGTGGAGGAGGATGCAGCCTGTGGTTCTGTGGAGGAGGATGCTGCCTGCCACAGTCCTCTCTGAGTCCAACCCCAGCTTGCAGGACATGGCACCCGCGTGGCTGGGGCATAGAGACCACAAAGGACCTGCGTGCAGCCGGGCATGGCATGGCCCATGGCATCAGCACATCCATCGGTTGGCCAAGGAGCTGTCACACCCTCCCCGGTGGCAGCTCCCAGGCTGTTGATGCTACTTATTTTTCCTTGGGTTTTTGTCCTTTTTTTAGCCCCTCTCTGTACCCTACCCCCCTTCCCCCCCCCCATTAGTTACTATAGAAACAGTGTCGTCAGGACTCCCTCCAAGGTGGTGTTTGAATACAGCCAGGAGTGTGGGCTGCAGTCGGTTTATGTAAAGGGCCACAATGGAGGCAGAAAGGCAGGCAGGGCCCTGCCCTGATGGATGGGCGTGGGACAGGGAGACAGAGCAGGCAAGCTCCCTTGAGCTCCTCCCAAGCCCTGGTGGGGACATCCAGCAGCAGTGTGAAGGGGTGGGGGGCCACGGCACACCTAGACTATGGGGTGCTGCCAACTGGCTCCATGCGAATCCCCAGAAGTTGGCAGTAGGTGTGTCCTGTTGGTGAACACTGGATCTCAAGTCCTCATAGCTCGGGAGCCCCTGTCAGGACGGCATAGATGCCCCCATGACTTATCAGCACTGAATGCAGAGGCCACGTGGCAGGCACTGCTCCAGAAAGCCCTATGTGTGTCCCACAGATCAGAGGTGCTTCTGGTGTGGCCAGGGGAACCACACTCCTTGGACAGTGCCAGGGAGCTCCTGCACTGGCTGGTGTGGCCCCCATGCACTGCCCAGGCTACCTCAGCTTTTGAGAAGGCCATAGTGGTGTTAGGGCAGAAGCCTAGTGCTCGTAGCTTGGTGCCACCACCACCGAAGCTGGTCCTGATATCAGACAGGCAGGCGTGGGAGCTGGTCTGTATTGGCAGGCCCCACCAGCAGGAAATGGAGTGGAGGCCCCCCGGGGGGGAAAGGAGGTGGCTGCCACAGGCCACACGTGTCTGGCTTGGAGCTCCCCCAAGACCTGGCCACAGCCTTTTCTCTGCCTTCTGATCTGGCATCTGGCACAGGCTCAGGAAGCCCCGCAAGGTGCCTGCGGCTCAGCAGCATCCCTCCAGGAGACGAGCCAGAGGCTCCTGGAGGCAGTACTGACTTGTTCCGTCTGTTCCTTTCGCAGTGCGTCTCCACGACAGCATATCCGAGGAGGGCTTCCACTACCTCGTCTTCGACCTGTGAGTACAGCACATGCCAGCCCTCTGCACACGACCTTCATGTCTCTGGGTCACTCCTGGCTGCCAGGCAGCATTAGTCAGAGTGAGGGTGGCTTGCAGCGGGGCAGCAAGCTGCGAGAGACAGGGAGCACAGAATCCCTTCCTCCTCGTGGGGCATTGCTTTTCCTCCAGGACTCGCTGGGGAGGTGGTTCTTTGTATGGCAGCAGTAGGTATGGGCCCCACCTTGGCTTTCTATCTGGCAAGCAGCAAGAACCGTCCATGCTCATGGGGGACTCAGAAACTGTGGTGTGCTCCCACACTGCCTGTTACTAGGCCAGCAAGAGTCCTGTAGTTTGGGAATACGCCATACCTCGTGTCTTCTGATGGGCACTGTGTCTTAGCATGCATTGACTGTAGTATGGAGGTCTGTGTTCCTGGACAATTGTGCATGGGGGAGCTGGACTTTCCACAACAGATCCTGAGATACTACAGCTGGAGGCTCTTTCCTTAGTGAACAGATGTGAAAACCGGGAGAGGGGCAGTAGATGGGGAGCAGCTGCTCTGAGCTGCCCTGTGCCTCGTGAGAGACATGGACTGTTCCAATTCTGGTTTGCCAAAATGAATGGGAATTGCCGAATTCCCAAACGAAAAATTGCAGTGCTGCATCCCAAAGGTCTCCAGGGCTCATAGGTGTCAGATCCAGCACGCCCCAGCCTCTGCGGACTCGAGGTACCCTTCAGCTCTTGGTTTTTCCTCAGTTTGACTCTGGAAAAGGAACAGAGCGGTTTTTTTCTCTTGTCAAGAGCTCAGGAAACCCCCAGCAGGACAGGATGTTTTTAACACTGTGGGGATCTGAGATCTCTGGGCTTGTCTCATGAGTCAGGGCTAGCATCATACGATACCCTTGTAAGGTGCTGGAGGCATCCAGGAGTGCCACAGTGGCCTGGTTGGGAATCAGGGCATGCTCCCGTGTGTGTAGGTGCTAAGGATTTGTGGCTTCCCCCAAATGGACCACATGTTGAAACGGGGGTGGAAGGCAGCTCTCTGTGGTATTGGCTGGGGAAAAGATTTTTCTATTCAGGACAGCAGCTGTCCTAGGACCTTCTCTGCCCTCTCCAGTGCAGCCTTACCTGCCCAGCTGCTTGTGCCTCCAAGAGGCAGGGGCTGAGGTCCAATGTGGGGTGAACTCGTCCAGTGACAGTGCCAAGGCAGGAGATTAGTGCCAGGCCTTTAGGTCCTCAGCTCCTGGGCACCATTGGCATGTACCCAGCTGGGCATCTGGTGCCTGACTCAGAGCTGGGTGCAGTAGTTGGGGTGTATCATCCATTTTCCAAGGCAGGTGCTGGGAAGTACGAAGCTGTTGGCTGGTCCGGAGGAGGGAAGTTGGCACAGGGAGAAATATTTCCTTTGGAGGCTGGTTTGGTGGGTTGTCTTTTTAAAGGAAACTGTTAGACTGTCCATGGGAAACCTGCCTGAGATCAAGGGAGAAAGTGGGGTTTGGTTGGCTTTTGTTTGGAACCCACAAAGCAGCCAAGCACGCTGCTCTGGGGTGAGCAAGAGGGTGTGGATCAACCCGGAGGGAAATATTTCCTTTTTTCCCCAAGACCACCCAAGAAACACCACCATCACCCTCCAAAACTGCCTATTTGCAATGGTCTTGAACCATGCTCATCCCCAGACCAGAAATACTGAACCTCTGAACCCAGCTCCAGGGTATCCTCCCTGAATTAGCTCAGAGGGTCCAGGCTGGGCAGGCGGAAGAGCCGTGCTCTCCCCAGGCATGGGGAGATGCAGCATGCTGGGCTCAGCTGCCTCGCGCCTTTTTCCCGATATAGCAGCGAGTGATCTCATCCCTCCTGCTCCCTGACAGCTCTGCCGAAGCACTGGGCTATATTTAGCTCTCCTCTGAGTCAGTGCAGTTCCAGATCCCCCTCCCCTGCAAGCCTCCTGAGCCACACAAACCTTGGCACGTCCCTGGCCTGAGAGACATCGGTGCCCTGGTGTCGCCTGCTCCCGTTGCACTGGGGGGCTGGGCCCAGACAGTGGGGGCTACTGGATCCAGAGGGCTAGGGGGCACCCTGCTGCTTCGCAGCTGTTTCCACCCTGGGTCTCAGGACAGGCTAGGGTTCCCCCCAGCTACCAGCCCCTGGAGCACCCACTGGGGGATCCAGGAGCAGCCTGTTCCTGCCCCACAGAAATTCAGTCTGTGCTAGCTGTCCCATATCTCAGTAGTTGAGAAGCAGAATGACTGTGGCGTGGATGTGACTAGGATGTGGCTAAAACCTACAAGCTTTGTGGCTAGAACCTACAACCCACAAATTGATTGAGAACAGATTCGGTCTAGATATCAGGAGGCATTACTTTATGGTTAGGGCTGCCAGGCTCTGGAATAGGCTCCCAAGGGAGGTGGTGCTCTCCCCTACCTTGGGAGTCTTCAAGAGGAGGCTGGATAGATATCTGGCTGTGGTGTTATGACCCCAGCACTCATTCCTGCCCAGGGCAGGGGGTTGGACTTGATGATCTGTTCGGGTCCCTTCTGATGCTAGAAACTATGAAACTAAGCTTGGCAGCTGGTGCCCTCCAAGTTAGCATTCCCTGGGCATCCGGGCCTCCAAAATCTGTCTTTGCTGGACATGTCCTAGTCACAGTGTCTGGGCACCTCAGTCCCTGACCACAGGTCTGAGTGGGGGAGGGTGAGCCCCACTCCTCCAGCCAGGCACCAAGACCCAAAGCAACGGGACTGGAGACAGTAGGGGCTGGGACCCAGGTGTCTGGCTGCCCACAGAGGCTTCTCCCATGGGAACAGCAGCCACTTGCTGGAGCTGAAGGGAGTGGGCAGGGCACCTCCGGGGCCTGGCATCCTCACTCCACCCCTTACCTAACCTGACAGCAGTGTGTCGGGGTGGGTGCTGTGGGGAGCTAACCCCTGCCTGCTCTGGTTGCAGGGTCACCGGTGGGGAGCTCTTTGAGGACATCGTTGCCCGGGAATACTACAGTGAAGCCGATGCCAGGTGAGCGCCACCCTCCCAGCCCCCCACTCCTTCCCTTGCCCCTCTCACCTCCTCACCCCCACCCCTGCTTATCTCTGTCCACCCCAAATCCTGCACCATTAACCCATTCATAACCCAGGCAGAGGTCTCTCAAAGCATCTGAGTCCTCATCCCTTCCAGCGTCCCTGGGCCCAGAGTCCCACCTCTGCACACAGCCCCATCCTGGGGAAGGGGCTCCAGGTGTGTGGGCAGGTGGCAAAGTGGGGTCAGAGTTTCTCAGGCCTAGCCCTGGGGCTTGGAGGAGGGTCTGTGTGGGACCTGGGGGGGTCCCTGCTGCCTCTTGCCAGCTCAGAGTGGGGGCAATGCCAAATGCAGCTCACTGGGGGATTGAACTGGGTCACAACCCAGTGCTCACAAAAGGCAGCAGGGCAGGCTGGGTTAGAGGGATCTCGGCTGGGCCTGGCAGAAGGAAGAGCAGGGGCCTGGGCAAGAACCAGGCAACAGGGCCAGACAGGCACAGAGGGGTAGCAGGTCAGAACATGGGGATGACAGGGCAAGCTGCACTGACGCAGGTGGGGTGCAAGCACTGACAGGGCTGTACCAGGGGTTGCCTGGCCTCTGGGCCAAGCAAGAGGACTTGGATGGATGTGGCTAGGACCTGGCTGTGGGGCGCTGGCATGCCTCCTCCCAGCTGCACAGGAACTCTGCAAGCTGGGAGCAAAGGCAGGGCAGTGAGGGACAAGGTGTCCCAGCCCAGTAGCTGCTCCTCAGACAGCGTCTCTGTCCTGCTGTGCCCCCAGGGCTCCCTGCATGCAGTTTCTGCCCTCCTTGCTTCCCGCTGCCTGTCGTGTCTCACCTCTCTTGGTCTCTTTTTCTCTCTTTTTCCGTCTCCCAGCCCCACTTCACATGGGCAGGGGATCTGGTCTTTAGCCATTGGTGTGACCAGGCTCTGCCTGGCTTCTTCTTGAAGGGGTCAGGTTGTTGTGCCCCAGTGTCACCCCTCTCTGGGACCCCTCTGACATCCCCTCGGGGCCTGTCACACCCTGAGCTGGGGATGACCCAGCCTGACCGGAAAGGCTGAGGGGGAGGTGGGGTCCCAGATGAGGGGGCTGGGCTGGCAGAGGACTGGGGGGGGCAGGGATCTGAGCTGGGGCTGGGGGCTAATTTGGAGGGCACCAAGCAGAACTGGACTTGTGGGGAGCCCAGACCTGGCAGGGCAGGGAAGGGATTTAGCTGTGTCCCTCACTTCCATACACATCCCGGTCCCCAGTGCCTGTGGAGCTAAGGCCCCCTGCCTGTTATCCTGGCTCAGGTGTGCAAGGCAAGTGTCCCTGCCATGGTGACAGCCAGTGCCAGGTGGGTCTCAGTCACCTGGGCAGCTGAGACACAGAGGCCAAGCCAGGGAGAGAGTCTGAGGGAGGCTGATGTCGGCTCTGCCTTGGTCCCAGCTGACTGGAGAGAGGCCAGGCCACCATGTAACACCCGGGGCCGGGTGAGTCCGGTGTGGCATTGTCCATGGCCGTTCCAGGCCTGTAGTGGAGTGGGGCACGGCAGGGCCCTGGCACACTAGGGGCCTGTGGAGGCTGCTGTCAGACATCTGCTGGTGGCTGGGGGTTGATCCAGCCCCAGCCCGTGGTCCTCCTGCCCAGTCAGCCAGGCCACGTTAGTCCCTGTGCTGTTGCCAGCCCACGGAGCCCTCCCTCCCTGGCACATGCCCCCTTTGTGCCTGCTGTCACAGGCCCCCCAGCGTACCCTCAGCTCTGTCCTTATGGTCCAGGTGTCTCCGGCCACTTGGTCTCTGGGGCACGCTACCTTGCCCGTGTGTCCCCCCCAGCCACCCCCTCAGCCACCCGCAGCTCCGAGTGCCATCAACAGCCGCCCATTAGGGCAACCTGTTGGCACTTTCACGACATTTTGTTTCTCTCCTTCTCTTGTCCCCCCCCATCTCCGCCCTGTCCCCCATGCCCCTCTGTCCATCTGTCTATTCCTGCCCTTCCTCCACCCCAATGCCCTTCCCCTCTGCGCCCTGCCTCATGTCCCACCATGCCTGGTTTCTCTCTGTGCATTGTGGTGCCTCTCTCTGTTGCCCCCTGCACCGTCCACCCTGGTCTGGGGCCTCGGCACCTGCCTGTGTCCCTGCATCCGACTGTCCCGGCCTCCGTGCCCACCTGTGTCCCCCCCACCACCATGTCTGACTTCTCTGCCTCTCCCCAACCCCCCCTCCCTGACCCGCTCTCTCTCTCCCTTCCTCCCCGTTTTGTTTTGCAGTCACTGTATCCATCAGATATTAGAAAGCGTTACTTACATTCACCACTATGCCATTGTGCACAGGGACCTGAAGGTCAGTATACACCTATCCCCATTCCTCTCCCAGCGCCGGGCTCGGGGGTGCCGGTGCTGCCCCGGCTGGGGCCCCCTGGGAGTGCCCCCCCAGCCAGTGCCCAGGTCCCTTCCCCCCGCGACTTCTCGGTGGTGGTGGGGGGTGGGCCAGAGGCAACATCCAGGGATCTGGTGCGGGGGGATTTTTCTCTGAAATGCCAGGCTGAGCTTGCATGCAGGTCTGCCTAGCACCCCTGGGGCAAGGCAGGGCAGGCAGGGCTGAGAGCCGTGGTAGTGCCAGGATGCAGATACCTCCCCTCCCCACCCCGCCCTGCCCCGCCACCTGGGACCTGACCTGCTCGGGTTCATCTCCCCTCCTTCAGACACAGAACGGTACTGGGGCGGCTGGAGTCGAGGTGCATTTCACTGTCTCATCCCCCCCATCACCCCACTCCTCCCTCCCCTCACCCCCTCCTTTCTCTCTCTCTCACTCTCTGTCCTCTGCTGTTTTGGCGTCTCTTGTCTCGTTAGCCACCCTCGCTCTCCTCCCCTACCCCAAGCCCTGCATGGCTACAAGTCCTGTCTCCCAGACCGAGGATGGACCACTGGCTCCAAGGCCAGAGGCAGCACTCCCCACCCCAGGCACACTCTGGCACCGGCCTGGGAAGGGGATGCCAAGGCCCCAGTGAGGAGCATCCCTGGCTGGATCTGAGGCAGAGGGATCCTCTTGGACACTGAAGGGCTGGGGGTTCAGTCTTCTTATGGAGCACTGTGAGGCTGTTCCCAGCCCACCCAGCCTTCTGCATGGGGCTGTGTCTGAGCACAGGGTGCAGGAGGACTCACGAGATGCCCCCTCTCCCCGCTCATGATGGAGGGGCCCTGTTGCACCGTGGAGGTTATTTAAGACCTAGCTAGACAAAGCCCTGGCTGAGATGATCTAGTTGGGGCTGGCCCTGCTGTGAGCAGGGGGTTGGACTAGATGATCTCCTGAGGTTCCTTCCAACCCTCATTTTCTATGATATTATGGCCTGGGGCCTCCAGTGTCTCACAGCTGTCCCTCCAGGTGCCCTCTCACAGCGTGAGTCAGGTGGCGCCAGGGGATCCAGCTCCGGGCCAGGTCTGCGACCGACTGGCTGCATCTGTGGGTCAGACACGGAGCCCCTGGGGGTTGACTGGCTGCCTCTGTAGGCCAGATATGGAGTCCCTGGGGGTTGCACAGACACTGCCCATGAGAGTGGTTGTCTGTGCCCTCATGGAGCTAGAAGGGCCCCTGGGTGTGTGATGGCCCAGGGCTGTAGCCAGGGACAGGGGAACAGAAAGCCCAGCCTGCCACTGGGCTGCCTTTTTCAGAGGCCCCGGCAGAGGCAGCTTGAGACTGGGGGCAGAAAACAGCCCCTGGGAGTAAAGTGAAGGGGCATTAGCAGGTGGAGGAATCCCTGCCCCCAGCCCAGGCAGGTGCAGTGCAGGTGAGCAGAGCAGATGCAGCCAGGCCTTGCTCTTGGGACCAAGAGCTGTCCTGCCTCCCCATGGTCTCCACTCCTTGCACACAAGGGGAAGGAATGCAGTCACCAGCACAATGGCCTGGACCGGAGCAGAGAGAGGATCCAGGGCTGTGCAGGCTGGGACGTGGCCTGAACTCCCCAGCCTGTCATGGCCTGGCCCCTAATGGACCGTGTCAGGCAGGCCCAATTGCTGGAGCCCGTTGTCGCGTGGTGCACCCATCAGCATAGCAACCCAGGCCGGAGCCTGGCAATGGGAACTGCTGCACCAGGAAACCTAAGACATACTAATTAGGAAGACTGAGCACGACTGTCAGGCCGCAGAGGGAGCAGACCCGCCACCAGCATGATGAGGACAGGGGACAGACCACGGGCCCTGGAAGGGCACAGGGCAGTGTTGGGGGTGCGCCGTTCACCCCCAGAGAGAGCAAGTAGGCTAGGTGGAGCCAGCCCCCCCTCCCTGCCTCTGGGAAGGCAAAGCAGCCTGCCCAGACCCCTGCAAAAGGTGGCAGGGTCAGCCTTATGGCCAGGATAGAGCCCCAAGTCATGAAATGTCTGGCTGCAGCACCCTGGCTTCTAGGAGTGAGAAGTCACCTCCCTCCTCCACACCTTGAACACCAGGATTTCGTGTGGGCCCAAGGGCTCTGTCATCAACACCCAGGCCCCTCACAGGTCAGCCAGTCCAGCCCCTGGCACAGAGGTGGAACACAGTGCTCCCAGATGGATACCCCTTGAGCTTCAAAGGAAAGAGCTTCCCCTGCCTCCCTGGGCGGCTTGTTCACTGCTCTCCTGCACTGACCCTTCAGAAGTGTCGCCAGAGGCTCCAACCTCAGGCCACCGTACTGCCATCTCAGCTCCGGAGCAAGGGAGAACCCCCATTCTCCTTGCTCTTTATGGTGGCCTTTCTAATACCTGACCTCTCCTCCCCTGTCTTCCCTCAGTCTCCTTTCCTCCAGGCTCAAGGGACCTGGTTCCTTCAACCATTCCTAACTGTATTGGGACTGCTTGATCATCCCCATCTCTCGCCTCTGGGTCCTTTCCATTTGCACAGTGGCCGGTGATGCCTGCGGTGGCCCTTGGCTGGCTAGGCCCAGCCGGAGGATCCTTTGGGGCATGTCTTCTCAAGGTCCCTATTCCCCCCAGCTCAAAGAACGCAGTTGATGCCAGCCACCTCAGCCTCCTCTTCAGTCTGGGCCTCAAGTTGGTGCCAGGGGTGGCCACCCTCTGCATAACGTTGGCTAGCGAGAGGTGACCCATGGCCCACTGGTCAGAGTTCCCCCATCCATGAAGTGCTTCAGCCTCCTCGTCTCCCAGCAAGACAACTTGTAGGACCAGTCTTGGAGTCCTTCCAGGCTCCACATGCCGGGAAGAGCTGCCGGGCTTTCAGCTGAAACATGCCGCCCTGGGCACAACGCTCAAGTCTTCTGGTCTCCTTAGCAGGTTCTTCCCAATCCTTGCAGTCTTACCATGACTCTGGACTCCCCTTCAGCCCCCTTGAAGCCAGACAAGGGAGCTCAGCCAGAGTCCCAGGCCCCCTGCTCCGTGCATTTGCTGAGCCTTGTTTCTGGAATGGCAACACCAGCCGAGGCCCCGTGTGCATGCGTGAAGCTCAGCCAGGCATCTCTCCATGGAGTGAGGCATCCCAGTGTCCTGCAGTCAGCGAGAAAGGAGGTGCTGGCGTTAGGGCTGTGCAAAGTTTGTGTAGCCGATTCGATTTGGAGGAGATGTGGCCCAATTTGAGGGCTGAATCTCCAAATCTGAATCAAATCAGGAGACCCATTAAAAGGTCCATATTGAATTGGAAGCCTCCAAATCGAATCAGAAGCCTCTGAATCGATTCGGAGATTCGGGTGGTCCCCGCTCACCACCACAGGCAGCTAGACCTGTGCTCCATACCGGTAAGTAGGGGGCTCAGGGGCTGGAGGAGGGGGGAGGGGACCATGGGGGGACCCCCACCTGGCCCCCTCCCTCACTGGCTCCCCCAGCCC